CCCAAATTGAAACAAACATGACGGATACAAAAAACACCAAATCAGAAGCTCAATGGTGGAAAGCATTCCCAGAAGCAAAATCAAAATGCCCAGAAGTCACGGCTGATGATGTGATGAAGTTGATTGATGATATGGATATTACTTCTGAGCCAAGATCTTTCTTGTTGGTGGATGTTAGGAGGGATGATTGGGTGGTATGTTTTTTTCTTTGCATGGGTTTTTGAGGGAACTTTTTTATGTGTTGGAGGGTGAGAATATATGTTATATGGTTTTATCTGGATATGGAGAATTGGGGAATGAGCTGGGTGTTGATGTTGAATGTTGAATGTTTCTGATATGTATATGTGTGATATAGGGCGGAACTATCAAAACTTCACTTAATCTTCCGGCTCAAAGTTTCTATCAATCCCGTAAGACGCTGTTTGAACTCTGTAATAGAGCGGGGATCACAAAGGTTGTTTTTTATTGTGGTGTGTATTTTTCTGGTCCTAAAGTCTGGTGTATGAGAGAGAGAGATATATAGAGAGAGATGTTAATGAGATGTAGGATCATCGTCAGGTAGAGGACCAAGATGTGCAGGCTGGATGCAGGATTATATTGATGATGTAGCGAAGTTTGGGAAGAAGAGTAATATTGATGTTTCGGTTTTGAAGGGTGGAATTAAGGGGTGGGTGAAGGAGTTTGAGGGCATGTTTATGGATGGGTTTGAGGAGGGGAAGTGGGAGGAGCTTAAGTAGAGGGGAGGGAAGGGTAAGGTAATCATGTTCAGTCGTGTTTCCAATTGTGGTAGTGACTGGATGAAGGAGATGCAAAAGTTCCCTTGGAGGAGCTATCAGCTATAGAAACTGTGGATCATCATCTCTTCTTCTGTATTCCTCGATATGCAATTTGTATTTCATATAACCTGTAAACGCCCTGGTCCAGATATAATCTTTGGTGTTTTCCCCTCTAACTTCCTCAAAACCTCGACGCAAATCTTCAATATCCTTAGCTCTCTTCTCATTCCCCTCTATCTCTATTCTCCCTTCCACCACCTATTCTCTCCAGCGCCTCGAGCATCACGACTGAGTTTCCGCGGATAACCTAATAGCCTATTAGCGTTTGCATGAGCCTCGTGGGATTGAGATCACCTACAACCATCCCAATCTTCACTTTCTCACCACCCTCCTTCTCCTCAACTGCATCATCTAGCACAATGTTTAAGAAGACCTGTTTATGCGTGTTAGCTAGGATAGTTTAGGATGCGCGCAAGAAGTAACTCACGTCGTAACCTCTCAAAACACCAATAACCTTTCTGCTACCATTCAACTGGACAAACAGTCTCTTATCGAGGTACTACACCAACAAATAAATTAGCCATTAATCCCCCAATCCCCTCCGTTTCCCTCTCAGCGCTCGCGCAATAGTTTCAATCCATCACCTCATCGCGTCTTCCCTCTTATACTCTCCTCAAAATAACAAACGCCTCAGAAATCGCACTTACCTTCTTAAGCTCAGGCTGAGCTTGAGGCATCTTGACGATAGATTTTGATAGGATTTGTCGGGTAGATGTCGTGGAATTGGAAGCTGGATTGCCTACTCTAGAAACAACCCCAAAATTTCGTGCCTTGCTTGAGGTTTCGTGAGGCTGAAGTTAGAGTCACGTGGTGATAAGGAGATGGGATTGGGGGTTTTTATTTATCGTAGGGAACGAGATGGCGATGTTGAGTTACATTTCAAACGCGTCTTTATTCATCGCAGTTTAAGTGCAGGATTTCTCTTCTTCACTGGAGTTCGACAGGAAGTTGATTGATATACCGGTTTCATTGAAGAAGAAATTTTGAAACACGAGAAAAGATGTCGGCAGTTCGAAAACCACTCAAGAAATCCAATTTGCGCCGGAGTATCGCATTCGAAGACTTAACACAAGATGCAGATGATGTGCCCCAGAGCGATACTCTCGGCGATGATAGTCCCTCAAATAGACCTCCGATAGTTAAAACTACATCATTCAAGAAGAAAAAGAGACCCGCGTCATCTCGTCTCTCCTTTGGCGTAGGCGACATCATATCCGGTTCTGATGCCGAAAACCTCGAGGACGACGAATCATTTATACCAGTAAAGAAACCTCTGTCTCGAAAAGTCATAGAGGGAAATGTGAAGAAAACGAATGCGAGGTTACCTTTGCCAATGAGGGCGAGGGATGAAGACGAGGATGGGGATGGGGATTCGGGAATGGGGAGGCCGAGCTATAGTAAGGATTATCTGAAGGAATTAAAGAGTTCGCAGGCTAGTGCGATGAGGGACTTAGTGGAGGTGGAGATTGGGGGAGGAGAGGAACCATTTTTGGATGCGAGTGAATTGGAGGGAGCTATGGTTGTGGATTCGGAAGGGAATGGAGATACGATTGGGAGTTTTGGGGAGAGTGCGGCGATCATACCTACGGAGGCGGAGATTAGGGAGAAGAAAGAGAGGAGAGCTAGGATGGCTAGGGAGAAAGATTTCATCTCGCTCAATGATGATGAACCAAATGGTGGACGAAACATGTCACTTCTCCCTCGACAAAAGAAACCAGAATCAAGGTTAGTCCTAGATGATGAAGAGATCATGGAAGGCTTTGAAGAATTCGTAGACGATGGACGTATATCTCTAGGCAAGAAACAAGAGCGCGAGGAACGACGACGCCGCAAGAAACAAATGGCAGATCTCATCCAACAAGCAGAAGGCAGCTCAGACGAAGAAAGCGACGATTCGGAAGCAGAGAGAAGAGCAGCATATGAAGTTGCCCAAACGAGAGCTGGTATGGATGGTTTGCATAAACACGACGATGCAGCTGCGGCTGCTGCGAGGGAAGAAAGTCAGGTTCCGGCGAGGATTACGCCGATTCCAGTACTAAGCGAGTGTTTGGAACGATTACAAAATACGTTGAGTACTATGGAACTGGAACTTTCTAAGAGGAAAAGGAAGATGGAAGAGGGAGAGAGGGAAAAATCGGATATTGGGAAGAGGGAAGAGGAAGTTCAGGTGCTGCTTACGCAGGCGGGAATGAGATATTCGGTGTTGAAAGCGGATGCTGCTACTCGTGATGTAAAGGAATTGGAATTGGAAGCGAGTGATATTAAGGGGTTGGTAAATAAGAGTTCTGAGATGGGGAGGGAGAGGGAGAGATTTGGGGATGGGGATAGGGGGTTGGAAAGTTTTGGGAATACACCGGTTGGGAGGGGAGAGGTGGTTGATGGATCGTAGGATGAAATGGATTAGTTGATTTGGGCGGGTTTTATAATATATACTATTAATATAGACGGATATTCATCTGTAGACTTTTACTTTGGTTTGGTACTTGGTTCTTTGATTGTGTAGATTTGTGAGATTCGTGATGGGATTTATTTGATGGTTGGATGATATAATTATATATATGAATGAGTGAGAATTTGAAATACTATTATCTCCAATCTATCGGACACTTTCAACTCCTTTATTCATCGTGTATAATTCTATTCCATCCCAGTTCATCCTATCTCATCTCATTCTCCCTCCTCATCTTTCCCCACCTTCTCCAACAAATCCCCCCTACCAACAAATCCTCTCCCCAATCCCAATCCCAATCCCAACACCTCCACCAATACATCCATCAAACCCCACAACTTTCACAACTCTATTACTCAATAATACAGTACAACCCCCACCCCCCAACACCATATTAATCTAGAGTAATACCACGTATACTTACGAGTACTACCTAAATCTTGTAAATATTGTAAATATAAATAAGAGATAGAATCACTTATACTCGAGTAGTACTACTTAGGTATGTACTTTTACTTACTTTTATATTTATATTTATAAATCGAGTAGATATCTCATCTAATTAATTTTTTCTTATTAATGCATCTTTACATAGAGGCTCTACTCAGTATATCTATCTCATCACTTCCCTTCCCTTCCCTTCCCCTTCTTTCCCTCTCCTCATTTCCCTTTTCCGTTCTCCCCTCTTCCCTTAACTCACACCTCATCTAGCACACATATTACACTCTGCCCTCCCCTCCCCTCCCCTCCCCTCCCCTCACTCTCTCCCCTCTCCTTGCACTCTCTCCTCCCCTTGCACATTCACTCAACCTCAACCTCAACCTCAACCTCAACCTCAACCTCAACCTCATCCTCATCCTCATCCTCAAACTTATATCCATACATACCCAACTCTCAACTCCCAACTTTCCCCTCTCCTTACACTCTTCCCTCTCCTCCTCTTCCCTCTCTCCTCCTTTCCCTTCCCTTCCCTTACTCTCCCTTCTCCTGCTCTTTCCTCCCCTCCCACCATTCTCAACTCTCCCCTCTCCCCTCTCCCCTCTCCCTTCTCCTCCCCTCTCCTTACACTCTCCCCTCTCCTCCCCTTCCCTTTCTTCCCCTCCCCTCTCTCAGCTCCCCCCTCTTCTCAAATCTCAAAATCCAAATCTCAAAAACCAACCCTAACCCCAAAACCAATCATCAAAACCAATCAAAACCATCAAAATTCCATCAATACAATACAATACAATACCATACTACCATACTACCATATTATACTACCATATTATACTATACTATAATATATACTATATTATACTACTCGACCGAGTACAACAATATAATATCAATAATCTCAATCTTCCCTTATTCTTCCCTTCTCATCCCTCTTCCTCTTCCCTTCCCTTCTCTTCCCATCAATATTCCTCTTCCTCTTCCCTTCACCTTCCAATCAATCTTCCCTCCCCCCCCCCATCCCTCACTCACTCCCTCCCTCACTTCCTCACTCGCCCCCTCCCTCACTTCCTCACTCACCCCCTTCCTCCACACTTGAATTTTTGAAATTCTGAACTTTTGAATTTTTAAAATTTAATTTTTTTGGAATTTAGACCTATTGTACTACGAGTAGAGTAGTTGCTAATCAGTAGTACTATAATTAATCCTACTGTATAAATGAATACTATAAATGAATACCATAAATGAATACCATAAAATAAGCCAGCCTATCCATCCATTCATTTCACCATCCCACCATCCATCCCAATGCAATACAACACAACACACCACACACAACCCAATTTTAATAAAGCAGTAAAGCAATAAAGCGCCAGCAATTGAAACCCAAATCCCACAAAAGCAACCAACCGCCCACGCCTACCTACCTACGCCCCAAACAACCCACACCAACCCCAACTCTCCCTCTAACCAAACCAAGTAAACCACAAAAACAACCCCCCCACCACCCACAACACCCTCCAAACACCACAAACCAGTTCCCTCAACATCCTCCCCCCAATCGTCACTCTCCACCTTCCCCACCAAACCATAATTTTCCACGGTTTATAAATATAATTCTTCCTCCTCTCCTCTTCCTCCACTTTCCTCTTCCTCTCCCTCTCGAATTCTACATCCCGCTCAAAATCCCTCTCGCTTTCCCACTTGATTCTGCCTTCTAATCCCCCGTAATACCCTGCTTTTTCTATTAGAGGTTGTTGGTATTGCGGTTGATAGGGTACCCCATATGAGTTCGGGACCCCATTTGAGTTTGAGGTCGGCAAACCGTACCCATTTGCCGGACTCGAGGTGCGGGTTCGAGAAGTACGGGTTGCGAGATTATGGATAGGGGAAGTACTTGAAGTAGAGGAATTACTCAGACGATCATTTTTTTCCTCTTCTTCTTCGCGTTTGAGATCTTTAATGTTGGTTGGGAGTAGTGAATATTCGGATCCGGATGAGGATGTGGGATTTGAGGAGGAGGAGGATGGAAATGGGGCAAAGGGGGTAAGTTTTGTAAAGGGTACGAGAATAGCTCGGATAATGAGGAGAGCGAGGGAAATTCCTACTAGGATTCCGTAGTTGATGAGAATGCCAATTTGATCTGGTAAGAGACAAAGATGGGATTCGAAAGTATTGGAAGTATGTGTATCAGCAGCTCCATGACCAGTAGGTATCATATTTAATGGTTTGCCATCCGATCCAACGGGATTCCACATACTCAACATGAGAAAACCGGGTTTACGAATTCCCATTGCCCAGTTCATACTCTTGACTGTTATTTCTCGAGCGTGATTTTTGTCTTCGGGATGAACTAGTTCGCAGTAATCGTGATCGTCGCCTGAGAAGACAGAGATGACATTGCCAATTTTGGAGATGAGTTTTTTGGAGTCATCATTGCTGAGGACGTTTTGGTATTGATAGCCTCGGGATACACTAATCGCGTTTCGATCATCGGGGTTGACAGGCATGGTTTGACCTTTTGGAGGAGGGGTCGGTGGCCAGTGTTCTCGAAGGGGACCGCATGGGGTTCCAGGATTTCGATATAGGGGTACGTGGGTCAGAAGAATAGTAGGAAATTCCGCACCATTGGGTCCAGGATCCAGAGTCGGAAGATGTGCGTAATCAGCCAATTCTACATCTTGAACCGAATGAGAATACTGCAACAATCTCTCCTTTCCAGCTTGGAAATCCAATTCTCGAGCCACGGCTTTTCGCTTGGTGACTTGAACATTGTTCAGAAAGTTCTCGACGGGTTTGGTGATGGGCGCAGTCTCACTGACTGGACGATCTGATCCTCCAGCACTCAATGATACCGCATCGACAGAAACAAAGGTATGATTTGCAATAACATCCACTCGGTTCGCATCCCCAAAATAGACCTCAAATCGATCACGGATAGGGATTTTGATTTGTGCGCCAAAGCCCAAATCATGATTTCCAGGTAAACTCGCAATGAGCTTTCGACCCCTTTGCCCCACTCCAGCTTCTGATCCTCCCAAGTTCCAATTGTCTGAGAAGATCCTAGAAAATCGACCGTATTCCTTCAGCCAAAAGTCCTCTCCATATCTTCTCCCCCAACTTTCCACATATTTCTGCTCCTTTGCAGGTCGATGTCCCTTGGCCCATGCTTGATCTTCCGAATTCCCATGCGCCGTCTTCCATTCTCTTCCTCCATCAAACAGATCCCCCAAGAAAAATACCGTATCTGGATGTAATTGCTTCGAAAGTTGTATATAAGACCTCTTCATATAATTATCCGTATGCCACACTGTAAATGTCGACAACGGCCACGGCCGATCTGGGTATGAATGCGGATCGGTGAGTTGAGGATCTGCCAAAAATATCAAATGATGCGGCGTGGTATTTGGAGGCTAATCATATCACAAATATCATCAGCCTTGTCTCCAAGTATTTCTACCCCCCTCAAGAAAACTCACCCATCTCTCCCATCCCTCCCAAGCACAAGCCCGCACAGCTTCCTCAAAAATCCAACGTTCCCCATACAACAAAACTACCACCCAAACACAAACCAACAAATGGGGTAAACTAAAAAACCGTCTCCAACTCCAATCCCTCATCCAACCCCTCAATAACCTCGGTATCCTCGATACCTTCCCCCCAACCACGCCTAAATTCTGTTGATCCGCCATCCTCTGCAAACTCACCGCCAAATCCGTTGGCAACACCAACAATACCCTCCTAAAAATCGAAGGAGGTTCTTTGAAATGATCGCGCGTTGAATGTGTATATTGAGAATGCGAAGAAAAGGGTGCCATTCTGATGGATTAAGTTGCTTTCTAACTAGTAATGAATGCCATACCCGGCCTTCTTGGCTTAAGCTCGGCTCAAGGAATGATGGCTAGAATTATATTATATTAAGGTATGTACTCCTCGCGTGTGTAATGTATTTATCCGCTTCGTGCATAGGATTGGTGTAAATGGTACTTTTGTATTGCTGTAGAGGGTTGATTACGACGCTGAGAAGATTTAGCTTGAGGCTTAAGGGAATTAAAATTGGAGATCGGGTGCGGGTGCGGGTTGAGTTAAGGCTTATTAGATGATGTAAGCCTGTACCCAACCCTAGAATAAGCCTGGAAGGACCCTGTGGTTCTAGGGCGATAACAATGGATAAGGATTATTTTTCAGGGGTTTGACTGGGATAGTTGAGATGGATAAGTCTAAGTTACCTATTAAATTTCATTTTGATGAAGCTCAGTTGAGAATTGAGAGGGATCCTTTTAGTATAAGCCCGAGAGATAAATTATTGTAACATGACAACTTCATGAGAATCCATAGGAGTATAGTATACTTCGTATTCAAAATCTGGGCAACAAAGTGAAGCTGGCTAATGGTGTAGCTCTTAGAGAGATAATGTAACAAGATTAGATATTAGAGTAACGGTAGGAAGTAGTTTTAGATAGCCAATAGAGTTGATTCTTAATAACGCGAGCTGGAGGATGTATTCATAGTCAAAGTTCAATGTACTCGAGTATGTACAATCTAATTCAGGACACCAGGACTTGATTAGATGCGACAATATAGACCAAAGTAAAAGTAAAGGGGTATAATCATCATCATTTCATTATCATTTGTATCATAAAATTTCGTTCCCGTCCTCATCCAAACTCTCTTTCAAGAACAAATGGTTATTCCAACCCATTCTCCTCACTTGAATCTGCATACTTTCAAGTATCCTTTGCTTAACCCCCTTTTCGCTTCCATTACTACCATCAACCACATCCATATTCAAAAAAGCTCCATGAGTACTCGAGAATTTATGAGGCTTCAATACCTCCCACATCCCAACAACCTCATCCGCACTCAAGGGTATCATATTAGGTATACTCCACATAAAAGCATATGTATTCATGCCATCCGGTCTTGTGTTCTTCCCTCCTCCAGGTCCTTTACTCCAATCTCCCAAAGCACTTGGGGTCGTCACTAACGTATCCGCTACCAGTAATCTTCCATGTGCAAGACACACCAGACTTCCAGAGAAATGACCACCAAGCTTCAACATCTTAACACCAGTCTTCTCACCTCGTATTTCGAGCTCCTCCTCTTTCCCCTCAATGAATGTCCTAGCTTTTCCCATCCTGTCAAGCCGGTTTAACCAACTCTTATCTTCCCAACTCAAATATACCGGGCAATCGAATATCTCTGCCCAATCCAAATGTGTGGTATAATAATGCGGATGAGATATCACAATTGCCGCCAATCCACCCATTCTATGAATCCAATCCACTGTCTCATCATCCAAATATGTTATACAATCCCACAAAACATTCCCAAGAGGTGTCTTGATAAGTATCGCTCGCTGTCCAATAGCAAATTTAGGTTCGGTCCATATACTCCAAAATCTTTCATCATTATCGAGTGGTATCCATTTATTCTTATATTGACCTCCAGCTTGTAATACCCCCAAAGTTGTAAAAGATTGACCGGTAGGTGGAACAAATTGTCTAGGATCATCGCATATTCGACATCTGGTAAGAATAGATCGATCTTCAGCATCAAACTGTGTACCGCATGCTGTACAAATGAGTAGTTGTTCTGAGTTCGGCATTTCGTATGCAGGCGGAGGAGTACCGTAATCGTGAAGAGGATCCTCAAAATCGTGTACGGCACCGTCGTGAACTATTATTGTTGCCGGCGTCGAGATAGAAGAATTTGGAGTTGAGTTGGTAGACATATTGAATAAATACCAAAAAGAGGAAAGTTGGCACGTTTACAAGTTACAAGTACAGCCGCCCCCTTGACATGATTTGATTTGTTTGAACAACCACAAATTTCCCCGCAATACGCTTAAGTTGTTGATAGGTCCTGATTTCCTTCCTGATTAGCTATCCTGAATTGGGAATGTAACATCCGCTTATCAGAGGATGGGAACTTTAACCTCTTCTACATTCTTCGTTGTCTTCTCTTCATATTATACTCTTTAAATTGTAAATAACTTCTTTATATACATTTACTGCAGTTTTTACTTCAGCATAATCAAAATGGTGTATTTACTTGATTATTTCCAGCATCGAAAAGATTGGTAAGTCATCATGTCTTATCGTTATCAAAACAACCCTTGGGGGAAAAGGAAAGTCTGGGGAAAGCCCATCAATGTCTAATAACCTTCTTATAGTCAATTTAAACAAGCAGAAAGAGTTCAACGAATACAAAACCTCACGAGTTATCATGGAGCATTTACGAATTCAGAAAGACAAGTTCTATCAAAACCAATTGAAGAACTTGTTAAAGATGTCCACAAACAAAACATCCAACCAATCGATATCCTTCGTGCTTATGGAAAAGCTGCCCTCAAAGCTCATGAGAAAACAAATTGTGTGACGGAAGTTATGATTGATGCTGCTGAGGGTTGGACTACAGATGGTAGCATCAATATGAAAGGTCCTTTAGCAGGTATCCCCATAAGTCTAAAGGACTCGATTGTGGTTGGTGGTTTCGATACAAGTGTAGGATATAGTAGCAATGTTGGCAACAAGGTAGAAAAAGATGGTGCGATGGTGAGGATATTAAAGGATGCTGGAGCCATTCCATATGTCAAGACGAATCTTCCAATTACATTATTAAGTTTTGAATCGACAAACGACGTCTGGGGAAGATGCACAAATCCTCATAACAATAAATATTCACCTGGTGGATCTACTGGAGGTGAAGCCGCTTTGTTGGCTGCTGCTGGTGGACGAATTGGAATCGGTTCAGATGTTGCTGGATCGGTTCGAGTTCCAGCTCATTTCTCGGGAATCTATAGTTTGAGATGCTCGACAGGAAGATGGCCGAAGAATGGTATGTGCACAAGTATGCCAGGTCAAGAGGGTATTCCTAGTGTTTTTAGTCCTATGACGAGAACATTGGAAGATCTCTCATATTTCACAAAATCTATGATTGGTATGCAACCATGGAAATATGATCACAGCGTTCATCCCATTCCATGGAGAAAAGAGATATGGAAGGATTTCAGCGAGAAAAAGAAGTTTAAAGTTGGTATACTAAGAACAGATGGTGTCGTGGATCCAAGTCCTGCTTGTATGAGAGCTGTGGATGAAGTAGTGGCTGCCCTTGAAGAAGATGGTCACGAGGTCTATGATGTTAACCCACCTTCTCCATACGAAGCACTTTACATTGGCTCACAACTTCTCAATGCCGATGGCTGCAAGACATATAAATCATTCTTTCGAACTGGCGAATGGGAAGATCCAGGAGCAAAAGCTATGAGCTGGCTTATGTCTTTACCAAGTCCATTTAAATGGGTGTATTGGGCTTGGGTCAAGTATGTTAGAAGAGATGATATTTGGGCTGGACTCATCAAAGAATGGCATGAGAAGTCTGCTTACGAGTCATGGAAACTTGTTGCCAAGAGGGAAGCTTATAAGGCCAAGTTTCATGCTTGGTGGGAAGAAGAAGTAAAACTTGACTTTATGATCACTCCACCAAATGCTACACCAGCAGTCCCTCACGATGGAATGAAAGATGCAGTCAGCAGCTGTGGTTACACTTTCTTATTCAATCTTGTAAGCATCATCCATCTTCTTTGAACTTGTCATCTTGCCCGGCTAACATATACATAGCTCGACTACACAACCGGCATCATGCCCATAACTCACGTCAACAAAGAACTCGATCAACTACCATCGAATTTCTCCCTCAAAACTCTAAATGGAGTCGCATATGGTGCTTATAAACATTACGATGCAACGGCTATGCATGGACTTCCAGTAGGAATTCAAGTAGTAGGTCAACGGTTGGAGGAGGAAAAGGTCCTGGCTGTTATGCATAGAATTGAGGAATTGTTGGGAGATGATAAATATAAGTTGTTGGATATTGAGTAGGAAGGTATTGAGTAGGAAGGGGATGTTGTGGATGGATGATGGATGAATGATGGATGGGATGATTATGTTGTGTTTGAGAGCGATGTCGGAGTTGGGTGATGTGGTATTGGCATTGGCATGGAGTGTGAAGATGAATTTATGTGTTTAGATTCAGTCTTATACGAGTAGAAGGAATACAATACCAAATACTTTCTGCAATTAATTGAGTAGTAGGGATATATACAGCCATATGCAGGTAATCTTCACGTAAAGCGCGATCGGACGATAGCATGTTGGCAGCGTCGTACATGTACTCGAGTACATATATATATACTCGCTTCTTTCCTGGGCCCCTATTTGATACTGACTTTACTATACAGACTGTATTGCGCCGATATCGGGGAGGAGTGTATGTATGGGAGGGATGTGTGTGTAGGAGGAAGGGATGTTGTATATATACTCTAATACATGATATACATCTACTCAAACAACACAATCTCTCTCACTTCCACGGCCAAAATTCGATATAAGTTAATATCTCATCCTAGAAATTCGCGTATCGTATACGAGTAATTAATTATATGGAAATGGATATAGATGCGAAAATGAATACGAAATATGAAGGGGAACAGGAACGGGAACAGGAAGGGGAACGGGAAGATCATTGGTCTGCTTTGGTATTTTTGCCCTGTTTTATATCTTCTGCTTTCTCATCTCCTCATCTCCTCTTCTCATCTTCTCCTTACCTCCTCTATCTCCTACAATATTAGATAAGTACATAACAAAACAAACATAACATAATTAACATTAATGAGGAATAAGGCATACCAAAACTCCGCATCCTTCGTCCCAAAACTCGCAACTAAAGTTCTGGGGTGGTTGGATATACAGGTTGATGATGTTGGTGTTGGATATTGGTTGTGGTGGTTTGTTTTCTTTTTTTTTTTTGGTTCTTTTCTGATTTCTTCTTTTCTTAAGTTTGGAGTGGATATACTATTTTGGAGACAGGAAGGGGAGGATATACATTTTTGGGAGTAGAGGGGGAGTTGGGAGTTTGACTGAGTGATTAATGATAATGAGAAAAGGAAAAGGAAAAAAAGAAAAAAAAAAGCTAATAAAATCCCTAGATGGAATCATCCCAATCCAACTCGCACATACACTTTCCACAGGAACGGGAAAGATTCTCGGGATAGATAGTTCGGGTGATATAATGATATGATCGCAGCGGCGAAAGAAAGCAGCTGTGGATGCGGGAGTGGCGGTGCAGAGAGCTTGTGATTTCTCGGGTGAGCTTATTTCTTAGGGTTGAGGATGAAGTGTTTATGGGAGGAGGAAGGGGGAAATGAGAAGATAGAGGTTGATCGACTGATGAAAAAATATGTACGGTAGTCCTTGATGCCTCAAACTTATCAACACTTCCCTCTTCGACCTACTATACGAAAGTCTTTTCAAACGCTGCTATGCATTGGATTTTACGACCGGAAACATTTTGTGAATCGTTTTTTGGAGAGGTGAAGAGGATTTTGTGAAAAAAGGGGGGGGGGAAGGGGGGGGTTTGGTATATACTGTCTTTCTTTCTTTTTCTTTTTTGCGTTCAACATTTGGCATTATTTAAACCAAACTCCAAGTTGGGGGTTTACATTTCAAGTGTGTACCTTTCAATGGAGAGTAATCGAAGTGTACTAGTACGATGAGTAGGAGAGTCGAGGGGGGAATTGAGAGGATGAGGGAGGAGGTGGATCCGTGGTTTTTTCCGGATGAGGTGTGGATGAGGAATATACTTTCTTCCTCGTCTACTAATAATAATAACTCCCCAGAAACACACAAAAACAAATGGCAAATTCAATACCTCGAATCAGAATCAGAATATAGATCAACGCAAGTAGATAAGGGGGGAATAGAAGGCTGGATTAAATTAATGGGGAAACGGTTTTTTGATGTGTTGTCAGTGGGGGGGGGGAAGTGAGAGAAGGGAGGTGGTAAGTGAGGTTTGTACTAGTAAGGTGTTGGGGAGTGTGTGTAGGAGTCTGGGGGGT